TGTTTTTTAAGTATAGAAAAGAACTGTCAAATTCGTTTAATGTTAGGAATTTCTTTCTCGAAAAAACTCTTGAACGGATACTAACCTAATAAGGAATTTATAAATTTAAAATGTGTGAAAATTAAAAATTAATGATCAGGCTTCTTTTATAGTTTTTTTTTGTAGAAATATTTTATGATCATGACGATATGCCAATTTATAAAATCAAAACAGCTTTGATTTTTTTTATTATACAAAATGTTTTATTTATTATTTTGATAGCATACCATGGAGGACATTGCTCGAAATGACACTATATTTTACCCTCCAAGGAGTATTAAAAAGATTTTTTTCCAGTTTTTTATAACATGTTAAATAACCAGTTAACGTATATACATCAAGCCTGTGAGTAATATCTCTACCTATTATATAAAGCATATACAAGTAAATACAGGTCTATTTGTGTTACACTGTAGGACTCATGAGGAGTTTGTACCGATACTCAAAACTTCTTTTCCTCCCAGGTTGATGGCCCAGTCTTCATCAATTCGTTTACTGATCCTTCTCTGGAGCAATTATCCAGTTGTCAACATATCTCCCTGCAGAGTGATAATCCTGTCAGCCAAACGTACATCCTTTTCCGGCGCAATGCTTCAATCGCCCACAAGTTCTTGTTCAAAATAATGATTCTGTCTCCCATAGGTTCCAATACAGAGCGGTATTTCAGTCCCCTACAGGTATGTTTCGAATGCAATAATCCAGTCCTATATCGGTCCATATCTAGAACAATAATCCGATCCCCCAAAAGTTATTACAGGTAACTGGATCAGCGAATCAGTCCTTTTTTAGTCTTCATACACATTAAAGACCCAGACGTTCCAAATTAAAAACGACAAATTCAAATTCAAAATTAGAACTGAACACGCCCTGAAGATATACTAAAAACGAACGGAAACACATATTAAACTCCCATAAGAAACTAGAAGCGAAAAAATGTATTGCGGAAATGTAAATGTTCTTGCACTGTATGTGGCAACTATTATCGAAAATGTACATCCCGTCATTTTAATCCAGGAAGATATGTAGGTCACTAGTCAGGATGAAGTGAATGAGGAATTAAAAATGGGGGACATTCTCATCACAGATTGAAATAATGTCATGATGACCACCGTTAAATATCATCATTGTGGACTGAATCATCACAGGTTGGAAACCCTGACTAAGTAGTTTAACGGTAGTCAGAATTCATATAGCATGGTTAGCTTGATGATATTGCAGACTCATGCTTAGCTTTTGAGTTTCAGATATGTGTTTTAACAGTGTAGACTTTAATGATTCTATTATGAGAGAACAAATCCATATGTTACGATCACATCAAATTCTATTAAGCACTATTGATAGATATGAAAGTCCCGCTGTGCATGTTTAAATTGTTAAACTTGATCCGAGTATATATGATTTATCATTTGATTACGATGTTTGCATGAAATGAACTGATTCAAGGACTTCCGTTCATAAAAAGAAACTCTGTTATTATATTATAACCTTAGACGTTAGTAAACGCTACCTTAACAAAGATAAAAATGACAGACAGTTTGCTTGGCAGAACAATGGGGTTATTTTTCGGGGATCTTAAGTCCTAATAATCGGTCTGTCCCTATGTGGTTTGTCCTTTCAAGGAGATAAGACACAGAGTATCGCAGAACATTAACAGTTTTCTATAACAGTACTTAAGCCAGGGTGTTGTACTGAATGCCAGTATTACTGTAGGATGCATGTACAATGAATTTTGTAGTATATCCAAATGTAAAATCTCATGTTTTGTAATTTGTTTCAGAATGGTTTTGAACTAGTCCACACAAACGATTAACAAGTCGTCGATTTACTTTCTTTCTTTCATTTTACATGACCATATCTTGTTTTATTTTCATTTACATGTACTTTTTCAATAGCAAATATAGAGGGCTCTTCCGCCCTCCAAATTATATATGTGGATGTTAACACCAAACTCCACTCGACACCTAATCCACCAAACAGTTCAACCACAAACCCCCGTTAAGTTTGAGCATCATCGCCGAGTCAAAGTTTCGCACGAAGGAAGCAAAAATACCCAATAATCTGATAAGTTTAGAAAACCCCAGATAATTCTTGGTAGACATTTAATATGAACCGACCCTTAAACCTGTCTTCAGATGTTGAGAAGTCTCTTAACACAATTTGTTAGATTTTAATAAATGTGCATTACACTCTAAGGAACAAAACTAAGAAACTATTCATTTTCTTCTTCGAATTTTATTTTGTGATTTATTTTCTTTTTCATCAGATTTTCACAGGCTTTGGGGAAGCCACGTTGATTTAGCAAGGCGTTATACCAATTTAGCTTATACAATGTACTGAATTGAGTACATTTGTTAAACCTTGGCATCAAACAATGTCATAGTGAATTGTGTAAGAAATGTTTCAAATCCGTCTTTCTGTGATGCTGTTTCAGCCAAACGACCGTGAATCGGCATTTGACATTCAATAAGTACCGCGGGCTTTTGCAATAATCGTATCAAACAATAAGTGTGCGGTTATTAGTTACAATACGACCTGAAATGTATTTAAAAAACAGAAGATAATGCGACTAGACAGTGTTATCTACTTAAACTTGTTCTATCCTCGCACGTAGTTTGTGTTGTACGTCATCAACCAGTAAAATGTGTCCAGGCTTGATGTTATATCAACGTTACGTCGTGATTATTACGTGATGTGGACATCACAGTTGTAACACTGACAACATTTGTTTTCTGTTAGATTTGTATTGCAGTTGCATAAGATTAAACATTCGACATCCTTAAAAAAAGACCAAACTTCAAACTGTATATCCCATTATAGAATCATTCATTTATTTTGATTTTAGGATGATGATCTTCAGGACAAAAAAATGAAAGACAGATGAGCACATATTGTCTCATTTTTTTGGTTAATGAGCGTCAGTTTAAGCTAGTAAGTGTAATCATACAGGCATTTCTCTGTGCTGTTTTGAAGTACATGCACCAGAAATTTGTTTAATGTTTTCAGTGTTAAAGTTGCTTTCCGAACTGTTGGTCGAGGTATCAAGTTAACAGTCAAAAGATATGAAAATGACGTAAATTTTGAAAATACAAGAAAAAATAATGACATGCACAAAATGTCATCACCACTATTAACCACTGGTGTGCCACAGAGCCTATTGATAGCCTCTATGCTACTACCGTTGAGTGCCAGAGAACATATGCTTAGATAACGTCATAGACGGCGTTTCAGTTTTCCGGCAGAATAGTTCGACGGAATAATAGCGGCTCGATTATTTGCTCCTTAGTTTTGACCTTATCCTCCTGAGAACCATGACTTCATACAACCATGTTTGGAACCTCCGGGACCAACCAATATGCTCCCAAGGAATTCGCCTCCAATAATAAAGAAATGCATATGATATTTGTTTTCCATTGTAGAGTTTGACTGTAGAGATGCGTGGAAGTGTACCGCCAAACATGTTGATGCTCTCCAAGGCTCCACTTCAAACATCACTTGTGAAAGTGCGCCGGCGTCGTGTGTGGACCATTCACAATGGAACCAGCCCTCCGCATTGTAGATGACATCGGCAGTTCGAACTTGCCCACAATATGCTGTAACTTGTGATTTGTGGCATATCACTTACCATATCAAAGAATCAATGCTGTAAGATAATTGTGATAGCAATGGCTGCTTTAGCGTAAAATGCAGTACATCAAGGTATGCACGAAGGATCGTCTTCTTTTTTATTCTCGACATTGGCAAAGTATGCATTGTGTAAGTAATGATAGGTCAACCATGTTACTTACATGAAAACAATAAAACAATCATTTTGTTATAAAAGTAATCGTTATGGCAACGCAATTACGGTGTATGTGCAATGATTTTGGCTTTGATGTTTTCTGACGTCATACCATGACTTGTAAATAATTCGCAGGTCTGGACGGGTGTTAACGGGATCGTCGATTAACCAGAATCAGAAGAATACGACTGATGAAACATAAAGAAGATTTTAAACACCTCATCTTTGTATTTAGTTTTAAGCTTGCTTGAAGTTGGAAGCCTGAACCATTTGAATAAGTTATATTCTCTCTTCCTTCATTGCCGTTTCTTTCAACTCTATCAATATCTGGAACATTTGCTTTTCAAAACATCATTTTGCGTCTTCAGAAGCAACTATAACGTTACACATCCTCTCTTTACTCTCTTTTTAAATGTGTTCTATGATATAATTATCTTTTTGCGTTAATCAAATAAATTTCAAGTAAAAAATAAATTTCAGGCATCGCTCAAATCAATTTTCCAATATATTTGCCATTTGGATGTCTAGGGGGCGTCTATCATGACGTATCAAGACAGAATCAGTTAATCAGTAATGATATCTTAAATACAAAATTGGGGGGATTTATTCAATTTAAAAGCTACCACAGGGAGGACGAAGTCGTTACTTCTTTACAGTAATCGTGTATTGTTATAAAAAAAGTGTGCAAATATTGAAATTTCGGAACGGTTAAAAATTATCGTTGCTGCCATTTTATATTTCCTAATGTAATATTATGAAGACGTTTTCACTTAGACTAGTGTCCATCGCGTTTAATAAACAAAACCTCGTATAATGTCTCTCCTATTATTGTTTTATTCCCCTCCCCCCTTTTCCTTGCAATGCCTTTATATGTCGCTCTCGATATAACGCCAGCCCTCATTTTAACACTATTCCTTTGCTGGACAAAAGGTGACATTATAACGAGAATATGCCTCAGATTGATGTCTCATTTCAGCAGTTTCATTAAAAAAATGCTAAAAAAATGCATCGGTATTGAAAACGTTAGTATATGTATTTGCAAACATGTCAACATTGCGAAGTCGTATATTTCTGTGGTTTGCACATAAGTGGAAGGTAGAAACACTTGTGTTGCTTACACACTTGTATGCCTTACTTCTAAAGTTGCAGTATTAATGACATCAATCTGTTTTCAGAATTGCCCTCAGTGTTGAATGCCTACACAGAAGGGAACCATTGGTTGTCATCAAACCAGAACTAGCGGCAAAGCTATGTATACTCTGACTATATACATACACCAGAAGAAGACATCTGAAGGTAAATACAATCGATTTCTTCCTTGTGATATTCAGATATGCAGTATAACGAAACATTGTTTTGATCTTCAATCAATTTGCTCACAAACACTGAAGTGTACGTCGTACCTATTACTTATTCTATATTTATTATAAATCAGTAGTTCTAACATTCATAATTAAAAAAATCCGTTATTGTTATATTCTCCATAGAATCTGTTTTGAACAATAAAATCCTTGTTTTATCACGTTAGATACAATATTATGCATATTGACAAAACAGTTTTGCGTGAAACAAAATGATAAAATTATATACCGGCGACATTTTGAGAAATTGTTATTTTCGCGCATTCACTTAACAAGGATTCCGAAAATTCGACAAAAAAAACAGCAATTTCTTACTGCATAACACTGCATATCCAGCAATATTGAAAACAAATCTCGTTAGCAGGAACATAACAACCCACGAAATAAAAACAAATGTTTCAATCTACTTTAGTTTATTTGATTACATATATTTACATTCACGGTTTTTGTTGAAACACAGGAAGTGCGAATATCAATGTAAATATATTTCAATTCTACAGGGACATATATTTTGAAATATTAGGAAATGTGTATGTGTAGCAGTATTTCTAGCAAATGATATAAGACTTTTTCATGCCCAGGGGTGTAGGATAGAGAAGTTCCAAATTTGGTAAAACCTGAGGCTTTGCCAGTGGTTTTGCCAAATTTGAAAATCCCGAGGGTAGAATGTCCATATCCTACACCCTTGGGCATGAAAGAGCATTTTCTCTCTAATTCCAACCATCAGAATAAGCCTAGAAACCATGAAAATGCGTTTGAACTGGCCAACATTTTGAAAATATCAACTTCCCCCAAGAGCTTTTTAGACGAAAACGAATCACCCAGCCATATTTGGGATATCTCATATTTGTAAACGATGTTTGATCACATCTTTCTAACGTGTACGGTGAATATATAGTAAAGGCAGAGAGGTATAAATACAGAGATTGGCAACTCTCGCTGATCTCGCAAAATCACGCATGATCTACGAGTGTTTGTTTTGACAGCGTATCGACCTGGTGGCGATATTCTGGTCAGTGAGTTACCTGTGTGAGAGTTCGATCGTGTATTCGTTAGTTCGTGTCAACATGTCACTTATCCTAGATATATGGATCATATAAAGAAGCTGGTTAGAAATATAATGTTATATCTGAATACGTTTTTGAAATAAAAAGATGAACGAGAAAGGAGTGCCGGTGTCATGAAAGGAATTAACTCTCGCGTATCACAGCCGCCATTTTCACATGGTTTTTTTAAAGTGTATTTTTAGAGCTCAATTATCAAACTTTGCAGGTATTGTAACAACCTCATTTAAATTTCCTGGTTAGAAATATTATCATAAAACTAATTTCTGAAAACTTTTTTGAAATTGTCTAAAGAACAAAAACGGAGATAGTGTTATCCTGAAGCCAGAATAATTACCGATATGTAAACACAGCCACGATGTGCAATCTTTAGATGTTTAGGGATTTCTAAACTTAATCATTCAAGTTTACATTCAATGTAGCACTCCCAAACCGCATGGAAATCTCAGCTACATTTGGTAGCTACGTACGGTTTTAATGTTACGTTGATTTGCGATGTTTTCTCATGGCATAATTATGATTTGAGTTGAATGCAGCGAACCGCATATCCAATATGGCGCAGGTGAAGCGTAACTCTCGATACCAGTGACCAATGGAAAGGCCAAGAGCAAGTTACCAATCTCTGTATTATACGTCTCTGGTAAAGGGTTTTAATTTCATCATGTCGCCTTTTCCGCATTGCGACATCGGAGAGTTCCTAATTGATGACGTCACGTCATTGTTGAGCCATTGTGACGTCACGTCAATTGAAATGAAATTCCCTACACCCCTTTCTTAACCTGGACAGCTCTATCCTGCACACAGGGAAATGACTATTGATAAGTTATGCCCCTTTTAGCAAGATGATAGCATTAAAGTTAATGTAGTTTTTCTGTTAATGGTTGAGTAAATAGAAGCATGAATTGTACACACGATCAAACTTTACCGTGTTGTTATCCCAACATCGTATTGTACGTTACTGTTACATGTAGCGATATCTTCAACAAACCTTTCTGGCAGCAATGCTTGTTCCAATTCAAAAAGCATGTCAAGCATGAGCGTCGCTTTATTCAAATTGTTTTACCTAAATTTGATAACTGAGAGATTCTACAAATGCCAATAAAGCAGACCCTTTATATATACCAAATGGTTCTTTGAGTTATTTTAATTCCTTTAGTCGATAAATATAATCGTCAGATTGTGGTCTTCATCGCCGGGATGTTAAAACAGTCAAAGCATCCAAATTATTCACCTGAATTAGAAATTACATTTTAGAAAAAAACACATCGGTGTCAGTAAAATTAAACTGTTATATTTGAACGTTGTATAGGTTCTTAAATAACACTGAACAAAATAAAACACCGTTCGTTTTCTTCACAATATGTAAAGTAACTATCATCCTTTGCCGTTGTGCGGATATGTCATGGGATGGTCATTCTCCTTGATGGAGCGTTTATTTCTGATTTGCTTGGTGAAAGGATAAAGTCAAACCTACCAGCGATGCAAAAAATTTGACGTCACAATTAGTAACAGAAACAACTCTATGCAACCTTATTTGGACAGATCACTGAAACGCTACGGGTGTTCGTAATAAATATGGATACACGATATTCATTCCTTATCCCTTCTCTAATGTCCCATGGCTGTAAACGTTGTATGTTATGTTTCCTTTATCTACGAGGAATATTCTAACATGTGATTGCCGATTCGACTCTCGTCATTCTCTTTCAAGGATTTCATACGATATCGTGTAGACGGGACATTTCTTCACAAGACTTATTGAAACGTTATTATTATCTCAAAGGAATGATTAACATTTAGGATCCTTGTTTACTAACATTTTAATGTAATACAGATCGTGTTAGAAAATAGGTGCTAGAAATATCCTTTAGGCGCAAGAGACGCGATATCCGTCAGGACATAGTTGTGGTTGAGCGTGAGACGACGTCATCACTGGATTTAAAAGATCGAGAACTGTTGAAGTTGTTTATGATGACGTTAAATGGAACAGAATAGTAGCCTGAAAATGAGGAGGTCCTACTTCTGTAATCTATTAAATCCCTTCATTCATTGGCTGACTGTATCGTGTTTCCGCCATTGTTAGAGGCCAGCTCTCGTTGCCCCTGAACACACACGAAGGCCCTCGTAGATCTCGCGAGAGAACGTGGACCATATTCCTTCCTAGGCGGTCTTTTGAAAGTCGTATTTTAGTGCCTCATGGCGCGCATTCAGGGGCTTACACTCAATTTCTGTGAGTTCAGATCACGATTTACGACGAGAACTCCAACATCGTCTTCTGGACTCATGGCGTGGGTTTCCATTGAGTGTATCAAACAGGCTGAGTCGTTTATGTACTGGGTTATACCACTGAAACACAGTTTGGGACGTTTCAGATCTTCGCCACGTTGAATTTACAGCATTTGCTATGGTTGTAGTTCGGTTTTTTTTTAATGTTGAACAAATATCTTTGTTAGGAAACGAACTTGTGGACGTGGACATCTAGTCTTTCAAAGAGCTCAACGGGGTTTTCCTTTTTGTTGGTCTGTTCCGTCGTTTTTTTTAATCTTATCTATATTCGAGTATTTGATCCCATTCTTCGCCATTGTGCAATGGCTTCAGTCTCTAGGTATATCTACACATTTGGTTGGTGATAACTGGCCTTATCAATAATATCATAAATAAATTTGATTAAACATTGAACTTTAAAATTATATTATTTTGAGATTTTCCGAAAATGTGTTATACAGTGGTTGAATAATTTAGTCAATTACTGTTTGAAAACATATTCTTAGTAATGATGTTGAAGAGGTCGTTCATAATGAAGGTTAAAATGCGGTTCATATGACAAGGAATGATATATTCAAAACACATGGTTTTGAAATATGTTTCGTGCATTAAGTCATCACATATGACGCCTATAGCTTATACAACATGCAGTTTAGTCCAGTGTCATCAAGGTAAATGGATATCAATAAATCTAACATCGAGACTTTTGTATTATATAGAACATTGCCTTTTATATCACTTTTCAAGTTGTCGACAAATTATTTATGCTATGTTATATACACTGCAGCTTCATTTACATAATGTGTATAAATGTGCTAATATTAATTTGTTAATTACGTGGATATGTCATATTTCCATATAACAACGTGAATTTTATATTAATTAACGAAAGGTATGCAATACTCTGATAGGCTCACATTATATTGAACGTTACCGATAACATAAAATAGACACAAATAATATATTTAGTTACATTTACGCGTTTTATAGTAAATTTACTAAGATGACGTTTTTCAATAGCGTGTTAAATAGTGCCACAACGATGAAATTGGAACCTAAACCTGACCGGAAATGACGAGATCAATCAAAAGCAAATACGTCATGGACAACCACAGAAAGCAGAAGATGACGCAGATTATCTTCATGGAAGAAACACGTTTCCTGCACCGCATTGAACTCACGTCATGATGTCTTCCGTCAGACTAAGCAATAAAGGCAGTGCTTTCCTAGTAACAAAACAGGGAACACAATTTCATCATAATAGAAGTACGTTGAAACCTTAATCTCATAGTTGAATATAATCAGTTTATTATTTTCACACTTAGATAAATAAGCGATGTTCTGTCATTGAACTAGTAGGTGATACATGTATCTAAGCTGCCTCTCTCCTTTATGGCGTGTTTAAATGTCCCAGTTAACTCTGTAATCCAGACCGGACCTAAGAATCCAGATTTTCAGGCGGATGCGTCCTTTTTTATACAGTTACTCCGTTACCAGGGTTGTCTACGAGAGAAACTTTAATTTGTGCCAAAAAAACTTTAAATTAATTCATAATTTATCAATCATAACTTTCAGCGTCTATAGCGATTACAGAAATAATCGCTGT